ACACAGTATACTGGAGTTTCATCCGGCTTCAGAGCCCCGTTACTATTCCCAGAGCACCAACTCTACTCAACAAATACATGGTCGCGTCCACGGCTTTGTAGCCCTACAGCTACGCAGCGCCCACGTCTCCTGCGCATACATGCAAGTAGCGGAGCGAGCGATCTGCCCGGCCAACGACGCGACCATGTATTTGTTGAGTAGAGTTGGTGCTCTGGGAATAGTAACGGGGCTGTGAAGCCGGGTAAAACTCCAGTATACTGTGTGCTCCTCCTTCTTCTACCTCCAGCTACGAGAGAGAGAGAGAAAGAGCTGCAACAACACAGTGCATTGTATTCTCCTTGTCTTGGTGGCTCCACCAGAACTTCCCTAATAACGAGTTCAGCTCCTGGCAGAAGGTTTTCGTGAGATCGAAGCAAGACATGGCAAAGGTCGGGATGGCCTGCCCCACGGCCTTAACCAGAGTTTCTTTCCCACTCTTTGCCAAGAGTCTTTCCTGCCAGCCATGGACTCGCCCACACAAGCACCTTTTGATATATGCAGACGTGCGACGCCGGGATCGACCAACATGTACATGCAGTCCCAAGTAGCGATCATTCCAATCCTCACTCATGATTTGCACTTCCGCCTTCACCCGTTGTTTAGTGTGCTCATCCGTGTTGGGGGAGAACATGATAGCAGACTTCTCCGTATTGATGCATTGTCCAGAGCAGTTCTCATAGAGCTGAAGAATGTCATGGAGAGCAGCGGCTTCCTCCTGCTTGGCCTTTAGCAAAATCACCGAATCATCGGCGAACAATAGGTGTGACACGCTAGGCGTAGTTTGGCAGATTTTGACTCCACTGATGCATCCATGTTCCTCAGCATCATGCAGCAATGCAGACAAGCCCTTGGCACAAATCACAAAGAGGTAAGGAGAAAGGGGGTCCCCCTGTGTCAATCCCCGGGTGGGCACAAATTGTTCCGTAAGAACTCCATTCACCTTGATCTGATAACGCACAGTTGTGACACACTTCATGATGAGATTTACCCATCTCCTGCGAAAACCAAGTTTTGTGAGCATTGCCTCCAGAAAACTCCACTCGACGCGGTCATATGCATTGCTCATGTCCGCTTTTATCGCAGCAATACCATCTAGGCCCCCTCTTTTATTCCTCAAGTAATGTGTGACCTCATAAGCAATCAAGACATTATCTGTGATGAGACGTCCCGGAATGAACGCACTTTGGTTCTCGGAGATAATGTCTGGTAGTAAAACTTTCAGTCGGTTTGCTAACACCTTGGAGACGAGTTTGTATAGGACGTTGCATAAACTTATAGGACGCAAATCCTTAATCCTGCTCAGGTCCTTGACTTTAGGTATAAGTACCACGAGAGTATCATTCCAGCCTTCCGGAATATCACCTCCATTGAGTACTCCCAACACTTCTTCAACAATATAGTCCCCCATGAAGTGCCAATTTCGCTTGAACACTATAGTCGGCATCCCATCCGGACCCAGAGCTTTTAGGTCCCAAATGTGATCTAATGCCGCTTTCACCTCTTCGCGGGTAAATACGGCGTCCAAAGCATTGAGCATTGCAGCAGTGACACGCGGCTGCACCTTGTCAATAAGTTCATCGACCCGGTTGCCCACAGTGGACGTGAAAAGATCCTGAAAGTAAGAGCAAACATAGTTAGTTAAATCTTCCTCCGCCACCACCGAACCATCCTCCCACCTGAGCTCCTTGATCTTATTAGCTTTCTTTCTCACAGACGCCATCATATGAAAGAAGCGAGTATTCCTATCCCCTTCCAGAAGCTACCACACATGAGCCCTTTGTTTCCACATTGTATTCTTCTTCTCCTCTAGATCATCCACCAAACACCGTAGGTTGGCTTCCTCCTCAATCTTCTCCTGGGACACCAAATCCTTCATGCACCGCTCCAAATCAGCCTTGGCCTTTCTCAGTCTACCTTCCAGTTCGCCAACTACCTCCTTGTCCCACTTCCTCATCTTCCCGGCTATTTCCTTCAGGGCATGCACTACTCCACCTTCCCTGCTTGCCCAACTCCTCTCCACGCCTCCCTGATCACCTCCTCGCACCCATCTTCCTGCAACCATCTGGCCTCAAACCGAAAGCCTCGGTCCCCTCCTCTCCAACTCCTATCACTCCCCTTCGTATTGACAATTATGGGCCGATGGTCGAAATGTCTCGGCATCCCATTGACGACCACGTGCTCCGGGAACTTCTCTTGCCAAGGTTTACTAGCAGTCGCCCGGTCCAGCCTTTCACAGATGTATGTACTCAGCTCCTTGCTATGGTTCCTCCACGTAAAGATGTCACCCTCGAAACCCAAATCATCAAGTTCACAAAACTCCAACACCTCCCGGAACCCATCCATCATGCCCTGAGAACGATCTGCTCCACCCACCTTCTCTATACCAGACAGGATTTCGTTAAAATCTCCAAGGCATAGCCACGGTCGATCCTGCTGATGTTGCTGCTTGAGAAGTCGTAGGGTTCTCCATGTTTCTTTTTTCCTTTCTGTAGCCGACTCCCCATAAACACCTGTCAACCGCCATATTGAGCCATCCTCTTCCTTCACGTCTACGTCAACATGTATCCTCCCATACGAACGAAGTGAAATATCGAGTCCCCGCCGCCAGAACATTGCAACTCCCCGGCTACGACCCACCGGGTTCCAGGCGGATAAGTTAGCGAGCCCTAACTTCCACCGGAATCGATCCAACTCCTTCTCTGTGAGCCTCGTTTCCGCCAAAAACAGCACATCGGGATCCTCCGCCCTCCCCAACTCGAGGAGAGATTGAACTGCCGGGCCGTTCCCGAGCCCCCGGCAGTTCCAACTGATGATTTTCATTGTGCCCGGCGGGGCTGCTCGGACAGCCCGGCCGATATCTTGTCAACATTAATATTGTTGTTTGTTGTTCCCTCCTTGCATCCGCTCACAACCACTCCCCCTTCCATCAGCTTCCCTCTCTTCGCTTCCTCCTCCACCCCTACCTCGTCCTTCTCATGACATCTCTTCTGTCCCAGTACAAGCTCGCTGCTATGCCCTTCGCCCCTGTTACTTTCATTCTTCCTGGGAAGCCGGTGGAACGTCCCCCCTTTTTATGGTTTTGTTTTCCGCCCACCTCCATCCTGCCCTCAGTGGCCGCCCGTGGCTGTGTTACTAGACCCTTCTCCTTTGCCTCCACTTTCTCCTTAGGGAGCGACACCTGTGATTTCTCCCTCAGATTGGCATGCTGCTCAAGTAAGGACACCTCTTTCCCCTGGGGCGTGTTATCACATGTGACCGGAACCTATGCAGCAGCCTCATTCATATTCAACCTCCTCGGTTTTCCACCATGTGCAGGGTTGCTGGTCAACAACTTTGCAGGACTCGTGACTTCCTCTTCCCCCTCAGCTTTGCCTCCTTTCCCATCTCCCTCCCGAGCGCCCTCCTTCCTCCAAGATAAGCTGTCGCTGCCACTCCCACTCCCCGATCTTCCTCCCGCACGGCTATACCCATACTGCCGAAAACCTCCTGCACTACCTCCCCTTCCCTTACAACTGCGGTCTTCCTCATGTGCAAACCTCCTCTTCCCCATATCTGCTCTAAGCCAAGGGCCAAATTGAGGGTCCTCACCTTTCTTCATCTTGATAGAGCACTCCTTGGCCACGTGTCCGATGAAGCCGCATGTGTAACAAAAGTCAGGCAAGAACTCATATTCGAAGCGGCACCAGAGACCTTCTTCCTCCTCTCCCTCCTTCCCATGAATACTCATATCCTTCTTTCTCTTCTGTGGTTCCTTCTCATCCTCATCATCTAGGGTAAACCCTCTCATGATTGGCTTCTCTATGTTCATCCTGATTTTCACCCGTAAGAATTTGCCAATTGCTCTCCCATCCGCACCAGCATCCACTTCAACAAATCGCCCAATGATGTTGCCTATTTCCTCCGCTGTGGCTTCATTCATCATACCGAGAGGGAGACTGAAGATTCTCACCCATATAGGGATGTCATTGAAGTCATAGTCCTCTATTCTCTTGCTTGGATCATAGTCCTCCACCACAACAAGATCCTTATCAAACATCCACGGCCCGTCCTCAAGTGCCTTCCGCTTACCAGACTCCTGTTTGAATGTGAACACAAACCTGTTATCCCTCGCCTCCTTGCAGTCAATTCCTTTTATCGGGCACCAGATCCGCCCCAAGGAGAGGCAGATCGCATCTGGATGAGCCGGCTTCTCGGACACCACTCTCCCCACCGCCTGAAACTCCGATCCCTTCCCTTTCTCCTTTCCCCCCAGTCGGATCTTGACCCCTTTCCTCTCTTCCTCCGACAGCTTGAGACTCCTCAACATCCCTGCTACTCCCTCCATCTACCTCCTGTCGGCCAATGGCCGCTGCCGGGCACCTCCTAGGGTTTTGGTGTCTTACGACCGTGCGCCCTAGGGAGCACACAGAAGGTTTTGGTGGAGGGGTTACAACGAGGCTCGCTTGGATGCGACAGACGAACAAAATCGATCAAGGTCAGGGAGATGGCGATCGATCACAAACGAGAGCTATGGGTGAGGAAGTACGTCCGAAACCCTAATCGCCTCCGCAATCGACGGAGCGATACGCGAACCGCCACCAGGTGGGACGGACCATCGTGAAGGCAAAGCTTTGATTGCTAGCTGCTGGGCGGAAATCATTTTTTTGTGGGGTACACTTGTTTTTGCTTTCTTGGATTGCATTAAGGGTCACACAGGGTAGATCTTGGCACGAAGTAGGTGATCTTCTTAACTTCGCAAACTGCTGGGTTTTTCAAGTGATCCTAACCATATAGAAGGCACACATCCTCTAAAGTAACCAGAACCTTTACAAGTCACTTGGTTTGAGCCCTCATTAGAGAGAAGAACCATAGATCTCTCTCTCTCTCTCTCTCTCTCTCTCTCTCTCTCGCTCTCTCTCTCTCGCGCGCGCGTGCTCAAGGAATCCACGCAAGGATGGAGTGGAGCAAAGAGAGTGAGCACAGTGAATTGAATGTGTTCCCTGTCTGCCAAGGGTCTCAAAAGCCTCACCCTCTCAAGCGGTGGGGTTTGGTTATATAGGCAGGCCTCAATCTGACCGTTGGACGAAAAAAGCAACGTCCCCAAAAGTTTCATACATGTTCAAACCTTGAATGGTCCGGCAGGAAAATGGCTCCCGAAAGAATAGCAGTAACACCCTGAGATACTAAGCGGTCCAGAGACCTCTAGAACCACGGTTAGCATGATGGTACCGAACATGAACACTCAAGGTTTCATACAACAACTGCATGTCTCTTTCTATGACAAAGATACATCACTCGGTAGTACAAGACTAGTTTCTCTTAGAAGTTCCAGATCTAAAAGGGCACCACGTGAAATGGACGGACTGGAAACATCTAAGCCCATGTTCTACACCAATACCACTCGGATGTTTTGGACCGATATTGGAACTGCTCTGCAACAACCCTTTCAGAATCAGAGATATTGGACACCATCCATCCGGAGGTATCACCCTTAATACAACATTGTCTGAACCAAACAAGAGTCCAGTAGTTATAGGAACCAAACTCGATAGTTCCAGATATACACTTAGGATTTCTCACCAGCTCTGTTCTCACTAGGATTAGAGGTATGTGCCGATTGGTTCTTAGGATTTCTCACTAGCTCTATTCTTACTAGGATCATAGGTATGTGCCGATTGGTATGATAGTTTCAGAGATGTATGCAATATGGAGAACCGGGAATTTTTCATTGGAAAGTTTGAGGGATATATTGCATGTTTGGCAATGTGATCATCCTTAATTTAAGTGCAAGTGCCCCTCTTGATAGTACGATTGTTCAAAAGACTCGATGTGGAAATTGTTCCACTACAAGCCTATAATAATTTGTAATTACAACTTGTCTTCATGTTTCTCGTTTTTAGGGGTCACCATTGATTCTTTTTAACTAACACATGGACTAAATCTGAAATATCTCAATAAAAACATTAGTCTTGTATTTATCACATCATTAATCAATCATAACCCATTAGAAATTCTAGGTGCACTTTCACATATCAGTAGGTTGACCTTAACATGTGACCGAACCTGAACTTTGTCGGTGTACGGCAACCTTACAAGGCCCCCGCACACACTCCACACTTATATTTCATCACAATCCCTAACCATCAACACCCTTTAATATCTAGGTGTCTCAATTACGACAACAAAGTTGGGCCTATGTGGTAATCACTGAAAGAATATTACATCATAAATGTTTTATCATTCTCCGACCACATTGTGAACATTCAATGTAATGTAGTCCCGTTACTTTGTTTTGCATTATAATGATTTTTAAAGATGATAAAGTCAATAAACACTAGTAGTGTTGCCTTAACCTTGATCGGTCTACTGCCCTAAAATTGTTATTTGGGTTTTTGTCTCTACATCTTTAACAAATAATGTGGCTCAAAAACTAAGTTTACATAGGCTTACATCAATATATATCCTTAGCAGCTTCCTTATGGGACATCTTTCTACGGCACAGGAGAAGCAAGTGGCCCACTTGAACGAACCGGGAAACGAGTAAGCATGATATATGTTGTTATGTTTTATGTTGCTAATTTCTTAGCTAATATTTGATTGACCTCTCATTGTATCTCTCTTTGATCTCCATTAGGTTTTCACCTGGAACACAGATGCATGGGGATACGAGTCAGGAACCACTTCACTATATCAATCACACCCTTGGGTGTTGTCCATCCTCCCAGATGGAAAGAGCCTCGGTGTCCTAGCTGATACCACACGCCGTTGTGAGGTAGTAACTTTATTTAACTTTTCCAACACACCCGTCTAGAAGATCAATTGTTTAAGTAATTCTCGATCACGAAACATATGAAATTTGTTGTTTGTGATAATATTTTTCTATATAATAGTAGCTAACACGGTCCAATTCCATTGGCTATTTCTTCAGTATTGCACCTTATAGTCATAGCTAGGTACATCCTACATATATAGGAGATGTATGTTTTCATTGAGCCGATGGGCGTTTCTTTAACCAACAACCGTATTCTATTACAGATTGACTTGAGACAAGAATCTACTATAAAGTTTGCTGCCCTATCTGCTTATCCTATCATTACTTTTGGGCCATTTGATACACCGGCCCAAGTGGTGGCATCCTTGTCTCATGCGATTGGTATTTTTTTTCTCATAACATCTCTTCCAGTATTGATATCTAGTGTTCACACTCTTGAAATTCTAAAACGTAAAATATGTTTGTCAAATTTTAATCTTGTACATACTATATACAGTGAAGTTGCATATACCTGCCTTGTATGAGAACATGTTTCTCTCATTTGGAATATCTAATTCTATTATGATTAATTTGCAATCTAGTTAATGTTATTGTACATGTTTAACAAAATATTTGTCTCTCAATTCATCTATGGTTCGAGATTCAAGGCATTTAAAGAGAGCTTTGTATCTTGAGCAATGATGTTGTGCAAAATTTTAGTGTCACAATAGGGTGTTCATGTCTGGATATTTGCTATGTTATCGTGCCTGGAGTTTTTTTATTCTACGAACAATCATGACCTGTATAAGAGTGACTAAGACAACATCTTGCTTCTTCTTCGTGACTACATCCATGTCCAATTGGCCATGAGAAGAACACAAAGCAACTTAGATGCTAATATATGTTATGTAACCTGTTGTCCACTTAATGCACACACTTTTTCTATTATAGGAACTGTGTCCATGCCTTCAAAATGGGCTCTCGGCTATCATCAATGTCGCTTTAGCTACAAGTCTTCTGAGAGAGTCCTTGAGGTATCTTGTAAAGGAAGTATATGCTGCATCAATTCGTTCACTTTACTTATGATGAATAGAGCGGCAGTTTGTTAAAGCAATTTTAGTTCAGTATGTTATTGTGTAAGCTAGTGTGTAATTTGTTCAAGAAATTCAAGTTTACTATGTTACACGTAATCTAAAAAAAGGCTAATATGAACTAAGATCATCGCCAACAGTTGCCCTACCCCGTAATTTTTTTTCTAATTTAAGGGGAGTTGGGCCGAAAAACATGCTCCAGCAGTTCTCATAAATCATCAATCTGAAAAAAAAATTATGAAACACCCTATAATCAGCCCAACTCCCCAAGGGAGAATGAGCTTCCTGTATAATTTTCCCTAAACGTGGCGGGAGTCAACTGCTGAAAAATCAGCTCCCGCGCACGCCCGTCTCCTCATGCCGTCGGCCATCTACGTCGTGCCGCCGCCCGGGGCTGTCCCCCCACCGACTGTCGCTGATCAACGCGTCCCTGCGGTGGCCCGACTCCTGCCTCTCAACGGCCGACGACCAACAGCCGCTGCTTGTGCCACCCCATGCCAGTCGGCTTCCTCTCATCGTCGGCAGCCGCCCGTCCCCCTCCCCGCTTCAGCCAACCTCCTCCCGTGTGTGATCATTGTTGCTTCACCGGACCTTCCTCTCATTGTCGGTCGACCATTGTTTTCTTTTGTTCCCAAGGTGTTTAATGATTCTCTCATCCAATTTTTTTACGTATCAAAGAATTCCTCCTTTTTTAAACACGGTACAGACGCAAGCGCTTATACATATGCGCATACGCGCACCCCTATGAACGCACACATGCACACCCTACCTCTATGAGCACCTTCGACTGAGCCGACATACCATTTTGAGATTTACGACGTCACCGTAGGCGCCTCGTCATCGACGGAAACGTCTCCTCCCACTGAAAGCGTATCATCGGAAAACCTGAAATTAATTCAGGAATAATTCGAGCACCAGGACTTCAATCCTGATGGGCTGGGGATACCACTGTCCCTCTAATCATCCAACCACAGGAATTGTGTGATTTTGCCTTGTAGATGAATTACTATTTGATAGAATTGACATGCATATGCCATTTACACATTAATTTGAAGATAAATGGGAAAACCAGATTATATGGAAATATTTTTATGGGACTGCAAAACCAGCTCATCGTGTCAACCACCCCTAAATTATATGGACACCCCGTAAAATCATATTTAAGAAGAGTTCTTTTATGAAACTGACAACCAACAACTCACCCTATCTATATTTATACCTAATAATAAAGTCATTAGCGCTTCTCGCGGTACGTCACATAAATTGCTCCTAAAGTTGCAAAATATTACCCACCGATGGTACCTATAAGTGACAAAAAACGTTCCACACAAGGAATCCCTCGCCTAGGCCGGCCCAAGGAGTAGGGACCCCTATACTGCGCTCTGCATTCTAGGAGAAGACACAGCGTACCCATTTGGGCTGGCCATGTGCGGGCGGCCTGTTTTTAAATTTCTTTTTTATTTTTTATTTTCCATTTTCGTTTTTTCTCCTATAAATAATTTGGTACTTCAAAAAAGTTTCAAAAATTTTAAGAAAGAGATTTTCAAGTAAAATGTTCAATAAATCATAAAATATTTGTGGATTAAGAAAATATTTGTATTTTTTCTTAAAATGTTCACATATTACAAAAATGTTTGCAATTTTGAAAAGCAATGTTAGGAAATAAAAAAAATGTTCAAGATTTTTATAAAAGTTCGTGTATTAAAAAATGTTAATTAAATTGAACAAAATATTCATCAAAATGTTATCGGTGATGCGAAAGAGTGTTGTCATGGCCTTTGAAATTATGATTTTTGTTTCTTCGGTTGCAACGCACGGACCCTTTTACTAGTGGACTCTAGAAAAAGTGTCTCGTTACAGCCGCTTGGGTAAGATGAATCGCACACAGCCGCTGTCTAGCATTTGGTAAATTTTAGTTCAAAAGAAGCATCGAAAAGTGAGGTCTACTTTATGTTTATTTTAAATCTAACGGACAAACAAATCACAAATGGAGTTAAGCATTTTTAACTTAGTCATATTCAAGTGACAAGTTTTTTTTAGCATCAGTACAGACACAAGCGCTCATATACACGCGCATACACTCATCCTTATGAACGGACACACGCACACCCTACTCCTATGAGCACCTCCGAGAGACTGAGCCGGCATATCATTTTAAGATTTACGAAGTCACCATAGGCGCCTCGTCGTCGACGGGAACGTCTCCTCCCACTGAAAGCGCATCGCCGAAAATCCTGAAATAAATCAACCCTGGTGGGTTGAGGATACCACTGTCCACCTAACAACTCAACCACATGTTGATTCGCTATTCAAGTGACAAGTGAATACTAGACAGAAAGAATACCAGTAGTAGACAGAAAAAAAGAATACTAGACAGAAAGGAAGTAATAAATGAAAAAAAATCGGCAGTGTAGTTCGGTCCATCATCCTCGACTGAATTTCTATGTTTGCCCCTGCCTAATTTTGATTTAATCAAACCACGCCCGGCGAGAGCGAGACGCTGTTCCGCCACTGGCTTCGCCCTCGCGGCCGACGCGCCGCCGCTCGAGCTCAACGCAGAGGCCAGCGCTTAGCCTAGATCCAAGCAAGGCCGCCTCCCATCCCGCCGTCTCTCCCTGCTACCACCGCCACAACTACACACGAGTTCCAGAATCCACAGGAAATCCACGGCAAGCACAAGAATAGATGCTCAATCTTCAGGTCCAAAGTAGCATCTGCGCCTCCGTCTTCCCGATGGAGCAGATAACAGAGCACTTCCATGGCGATTAAGCCAATGCTGAGGCTCACATTGCCACCTAAGTACCTAACTTATGCCGTCGCCCAGATGCGACGCCCGCTTTGACAAGCCGTGGTCGCGGAGCGCTCTGCTCAGGCTTCCCTGTTTGGTCACGTATTGATTGGTTCGGTGACTTCAGTCGATTTGGATTGGCCCAAGATTGATGTGGCTTGGTACTTCGATTCTGTCCAAGCAAGGCAAGGGCAAAGTGGGAAACGCAGTTGGGGGGAAATGGGAAGAGAAGATGAAAGAATCCGAATTGGGGGAAATAGGTGAGGTGACACTTTTGTTGTGGCACAATCCTGATTTCAAGAAACTAGGTGGCATTCTTGTGATTGCTGCTATGTTTTGAAGTGGCATAGGTTGAAATCTTGCCTATTTTTTTTATCATAGCATGACGTACTCAAACTGACGAAGGAATTCCTCTGGTATGTGAATCTTTTCTGATTGGTGTTCGTACTGTTAGAGAGTGATATGAGTGAAGTTTGATGTGAAACAAGAGTAATGAACTTATTAAATGGGATTGCAAAGGGATAATTTGGTATGTAAAAAACAGGATTTAATCCCTCCTACAAATACTAATTAGTAAAATAATAAGGGCCAACACATAGAGTGAGGAGTAAATCCAGAAGACAGAAACCATAGACTAAAGCACATTACTAATAATGCCCTTAACAGAGAGTAGACCATAATGTTGGAAACCTTTTTTCACGTCTTAGGCATGTTGATGTTTTGTAACTCTTTTGTTTCAAGAGTTATATTCATAAGTATTCTATCTGAATGCAACCTGAGGATTAAGATTATGTAGTGTTACCATTCAAAAAAATGTAGTGTTGATATTTTTCATGCTGATACTTGTTACTTATTACTATGATAATTGATTAATTTTCCATTAGCTTTTCATAAAGGTCTCCTGATTCATAAGTGCTCTCTCAACTCTGAGGCTGAAGACTATGTAGTGTTGATATTTTCCTGTTGATACTTAGTTACTTATTACTATGATAATTGATTAATTTTCCATTAGCTTTTCATAAAGGTCTCCTGATTCATAAGTGCTCTCTCAACTCTGATGCTGAAGACTATGTAGTGTTGATATTTTCCTGTTGATACTTTGTTACTTATTACTTCCAGAGGAGGCTTAAAAATATGCTAGTGATGATATTTCACTGTTGTACTTACTTAGTCCTTTCACAGGTTATTAGAACATTTAGAGAGAAAGGCATTCCTTGTGATGTGGTTTGGATGGATATTGACTACATGGATGGTTTTAGATGCTTCACATTTGACAATGTAAGTACTTTTCTACGATAGTTGCTACATGGAAGTAGCATGCTTAAAATGTATATTGCTTCATAATGTCATATAGAGCCTCCCTTTTTTCCAGACTATTATTGTCTACTCAAAAAATCCGTCTATTTTAGACAAATTCTATAGTCTATATAAGTGTCATTCTAAGTGCATCGAGACAAGTTTCCTCCATGACAATGATTTTGTCTGAACTTGATATGTTCCAGAACCATTTCCCTGATCCAAAATCTATGGTTGATGATCTACATTCCATCGGTTGTAAATCAATCTGGATGCTTGACCCGGGAATAAAGGAAGAGAAGGGTTACTTTGTGTATGAAAGTGGTTCAGAAAATGATGTGTGGATTAAAAAGGCAGATGGTAGCCCATTCATTGGTATGTTTCACTGACTTAAATGAGCCCCTTGTCATCTTACTGATTTTACCAGTGGAACATGCCTAATGTCCTATAATTCCAGGGGAAGTATGGCCTGGTGACTGTGTTTTCCCGGATTTCACCAGTGAAAGAATCCGCACATGGTGGGCTAGATTAGTAAGGGATTTCATCTCCAACGGCGTTGATGGAATATGGAATGATATGAACGAGCCTGCTATGACAGTATATGCTCTTATCACAATTCATTTGTTCTGTGCCATCTTATTTTATATTTCCGTATGCAAATGGAAGTGATGGTGTCAACGTGCAGACTACTACTAAAACAATGCCTGAGAGCAATATACATAGAGGAGATGCTGATATTGGTGGTGTCCAGAATCATTCTTACTATCATAATGTAATGTCTCTATCGCTTTGGCAATAAAAAGAAACTGGCAATGGAACAGAAACAAGTTTTTCATATGTGATCATGCTTTAATGTTTATGATTTTCAGGTTTATGGAATGCTGATGGCAAGATCTACTTATGAAGGAATGGTGATGTCCAATACAGAAAAGCGACCATTCGTTCTTACACGAGCTGGTTTTATAGGAAGCCAAAGATATGCTGCAACATGGACTGGTGATAATCTCTCGAATTGGGAGCATTTGCACATGAGTCTATCAATGGTTCTTCAGTTGGTATGTAAATTATTTCTTCAAGTCCAAGATAGCCAACCCCCCTCCCTCTCCTCCCTGAAATGTATCAAGCACCAAGTCATTTACTTTGTACTAAATCAGTGACAGTTAGTATGGATCAGAGGGAGTACCATTTTTTACCCAATTCATCTTAAAACATAAGTGTATTCAATTGTTTGAATCCATTAATCCTGTGATTTGATTGTACCGTGATCACAACCTTGTGATCTTAAAGCAACGTTCTTGATCGCATTACTGCTGTGGACCATTGGTACCTGTATTAGTTACAAGTTTATGTTGTTCTTTAAATTTTACTTCCATTGCAACTCTGCAAGCTTGTTTCTTGTTTCTGATTACTTCAAGCAAATCATTCTCAATATGTTGACATCAAAAAATTAAAACCATCATATTGTCCATTACTAGGTATGATAATCATACATTTCTAGGAATCAATAATGTGGTTATATCCAATCAGGGTTTGAGTGGTCAGCCACTGTCGGGTCCTGATATTGGTGGGTTTGCTGGAAATGCTACTCCAAGACTTTTTGGAAGATGGATGGGAGTGGGTGCGTTGTTTCCTTTCTCACGTGGCCATTCTGAAGCTGGAACCGTCGATCATGAGCCATGGTCCTTTGGTGAAGAGGTACTGTTTGTGTGTTTCATGTCCCTCATCCACACTGTGTACGCACACAAACAAAACCTAGTTGCAGTCCTAGAAGCTTCATTGTCTTTGCTTGTTTCTTATATGCTACATTTTGATACATAAGGTGTTAGTATATCCATTTTTTCTTAGTTTACAAGTCAAATCTACAGGAGAGCTTTCTTGTTCATGAGATAAGCATACATTTCATACAACATTTCCTCCATTTCATTATGCAAATCATGTAGCCAGACAAATGATTTATTGTTTATGCACTCTGAGGACAACTCTTTTCCCTTCCTAAAATTTGTTACTACTGTGCATATATTACGAAGAACCCTTTTCATTTAGTATTATATTGTGTTGACGTTTTGCGTAATCTAATTTATTTATACATTAGGATCCTCCAATGCTTTTTAGCGTTGTCAATTTCTTAATAGAGATACCACTGGCTATTTCTAACAGCTAATGCATATTTCAGTGTGAGGAAGTTTGTCGTCTCGCGCTACTAAGACGGTATCGGCTACTGCTACACATCTACACTCTGTTTTATGTTTCACATAAGAAGGGTACTCCAGTTGCTGCGCCACTTTTCTTTGCTGGTAATAATGTCTGTCTTACTATTCACTAAAATATATTGTAGTGGCAGAGGAACATAGTCTAAGTTGGCTGTAGATTTTAGGAATAAATGGGATGTAGCAAAACATGTCCGCATCTTTTGTCTTTTCTTGGTGCACATCTATAAAACGAAGATCGGTGGTTGCACTACTATGACAAGGGCATGTTTGGAAGTTGGAACACAGTAATTTCACATAAAGTTTGCCGGAAATAGTGTTGTTCCATCTAAACAGGCTCTAAAAGCATCTCCAACAGACTCAAAAAAGCGACGCGTTAAAATAATTTTACAGCGCCATTTTAGTAATTTTACCGCGCCGTGGCCGATTCAGTCCAGCAAACGCACAAAAAGATAGCGCGTAGCGGACGGCGCGCAGCGGTCCAGCAGATGCACTAAAAAAAATAAAGCGTCACAAATATATCTACAACAAACAGGTCCCTAACATTTACAGATAAATCCATCTGACCAAAACAAAAACGCAATTAGCTCCCCAATTGTTGGATCGTTGAAATCGCCGGCCACCGTACGCGAGCTAGCTTGATGCACAAACACGAGCTAGCTAGCTTGGCTTCCCTATCAGCTGGCTTGCAATCGATCGGAAACCGCAAGCTCCGCATGCAACGCTAGCCTTCGGCCACAGGGAGGCTGCGAGCAGAGAGGCAACGGCGGCTCCCGGCCGGCATGCGCTCCCGGCCGGCGAACTCGAGGCGGCAAGCTCCAGCCGGCGAGCAGAAGGGCAGTGGCGGCTCCGCCCCATGCCGGGAAGAGCAGATAACGAGCACACAGAGGAGTGGCGCCGGCCGGCGGCCGGCGGCGGCGAGCTGCAGGAAATGGCGGAACGAGCAGAGGGAGCGAAGCGGAGCGGAGCAGCTGGTCTTCGCGCATCATTGTCCAGCGCGCTGTACGCCGCGCAGCAAATATCCCGCGTGTGATGCAGAAATTCCCAGCGCGTCGGTTGGATTTTACAGCGTGCTGGCTTTTGCGGCGTCTGCTGGAGATGCTCCGCGCGCTAAATTAGCGATTTTTACAGCGCGGACTACTTTTAGCGCCTCTGTTGGAGATGCTCTAAGAAATAACAAAGGCTCTAAGAAATAACAATCATTGAATGTTATGATTCAGGACCAGACAAGGAAAAAGTATTTATGTTCTTCCTTGCTGGTGTGCCAGATAGTAGATAGTCTTCTTTGGATGAATTTTGTTCTGTAATACAAAATCTTGTTCATTACTTTGTTGTAGACCCACAAGACACAGAACTGAGGAAAATCGAGACTTCGTTTCTCCTGGGGCCACTTTTAGTTTGTGCAAGGTAATGGTATCACATCAATGAGGCCACAACGTACCTCCTGCTTCGTTATCTTGGAAATGAAGATTTTCTTGTGTGTTAGTAGAATTTTATGCATAATGCCATTATGTTCTTCACCCTTGACTGAAAAATGTAAATTTTCTGTCATCCCTTTAAACGTAGAGAAATCAATGGCCATAATGATGCACCACCTGTATATTTTTCTACGCTTCTATGTGACATCAAAACTTCCGGTCTTTTGGCAGCACTTTACCTGATAAAGGAGCTCATGAATGTGCACATAAGTTACCAAATGGCATTTGGTTACCTTTTGATTTTGGAGATTCCCACCCCGTAAGTTGGTTGGTCAACTTTTATTGTGCTGCCTACAAAGCTATTCTGGAACTAATTTTTATTTATTTATGACTGATGATAATATAGGATCTCCCAGTGTTGTATTTAAGAGGTGGAGCAATTCTTCCTGTAGGCCTTCCTATTCAGCATGTTGGTGAAGCAAGTTTAGGGGACGATTTATCACTACTTGTTGCATTGGATGAAAATGGTGCGTTTCTGTAACTTTGCCTGGGGTAACTTGCATTTGTGATATGTGGTTTATCGGGAGGTGGTTATGTTTAACGAAATTCATAATTATACCCCTCTTATACCCTTTGTGAAGATCTGACCATGTTACCGTTAGTAATGTGTGATTTAGCAAGTACTCGCATGTGCTCAAACAAATAGAATAACAGAATTCTGCACTGGATTTTTAGCCAGTTTCCTGTGTTGAAGATACTCATTTAAGCATTGTCATATGGTGCACATACTTTCTGTTCTTCACCATGTCTGAATTTTTTACAGGTAAAGCTGAAGGTGTCTTGTTTGAGGATGCCGGCGATGGATACGGGTTCACACAGGGAGACTATCTGCTGACATATTATGTCGCCGAAGTCCACTCATCAGTGGTTTCTGTGAAAGTTCTGAAAACTGAAGGATCCTGGAAGAGACCAAAACGTAACTTAAACATAAGTATTTTGCTTGGTGGAGGTGCTATGGTGTGTAATACTATGTATACTTGTTGCCCTTTGTTTTACTCCCTCGGATCCATATTAATTGTCGCAGCTTTAATATAACTTCAGTACAAAGTTGTACTAAAGCTGTGACAATTAAGTTGGATCGGAGGGAGTATCACATTATATTTTCTGTTCTAAAGAATTTAATTATTATTTCTGTGAACTCAGATGAGTTCACGCGGTGTGGATGGCGAAGAGGTACATTTTATGATGCCTTCTGAGTTTGAAGTGTCCAGCTTGGTTGCAGCAAGTGAACTTGATCTCAAGGAACGTTTAGGTATCTATCTGTGGCTCTGTCATTTTATATTGGAAGAGCTCACTATAACTGGAGTTTTATTTGACTGAACTTGGACTGCTTTGGTATCTTGGGATGGTTGTACAGAGACAATTCGTCCTATACCTGATATGGATAAGCCATCGGGACAGGAAGGTGCTGATCTGTCAAAAACACTTATTATTTTGAAGAGTGGGGACTGGTTTCTTAAGATTGTACCATGGATTGGCGGCCGTATTATTTCGATGACTCATCTTCCTTCTGGTATGCTTCTTTGGTGCTGTATGATCAATGGACTTCTATTATTTTGTGATGTCTATGTATCAACACTTCAACAGTAGTAGGATATCTTGTTTGCTAAATAGAGAATTTCAAGGCAGTCTCTATTCTTGGAACCGTTATTGACATGCCAGTACATGTGGTGCAACAGGGTCTTGAAATTTCTTAGATGCTTTATAAATTGAGTAATGTGGATGCCGTTCGTCTATTTGCTTCATTGGTCGTAAATATATCCAAAAATTATTTTCTTATTAACTTAAGTATCACATGTACTTAATCTCTGGTTCTCTCTAGATTCCCAGTGGCTACATAGCAGGATTGAAATCCATGGTTATGAGGAGTACAGTAGGACTGAATATAGGTCTGCTGGCTGCACAGAAGAGTACAAGATCGTGAGGTAACGTAAATCATCATCGTAATACTGATTCCTATTTTTCATTTTTTTTATTGATATGCTTTGGCCTGTCAAGTGAGTAGTTTGTGTGGAGTTCTAGTTTTAGCCACAACAGTAACTGTTGATAGAAATGTGCAGGGGGCATCTGGAGCAATCATGCGTGGAGGAATCCAAAGTTTTCCTGGAAGGAGATATTGTGGGTGGACTGGTTCTTCAGCGCCACATATCTATTCTGACGGACAATCCCAAGATTGTCCAGATTGACTCTAGCATTGAAGCAAGAAGTGTTGGGCCTGGCTCTGGTGGATTCTCAAGGTGAGTGCTAGTAATTCAGATTCTTGTTAGGGGACAGAGTGATATCCTGCGCATCCACCTGGGAAAGTAACCTGAACCAAACCTTCATAGCAAAATGGCAGCTTGTCAAAAGATATGAGATTGTCTCATCGTCTTGATCACATAAGAGGCAAGCATGGTTGGATGGACACTTAGCCCAGTGGTTGGAACGCAGCTGTGCCTCCTAGCCGGCCTGGGTCTCGAACCCTGATTCCTCACATCTTCTATCTTCGACTTTTGAACCTAACAGTATTTGAGAAAAAAAAACTTTTGAACCTTAACAGTTTCTAGATCGATCATGATTTATGATTTGAAGCACGCTAATATGCCATTAAAATAACACGGTGACATCTCGAGTCCGGGCTAATGTCAACATGCTTTGTCCGATAGTAAGGTTCACTGAAATGCTTAAGACTTCTTCTGCCAGCCCTAATCATGACTCATCGATGTATATGTTTTCTCCTCTGAAGGTTGGTCTGTTTGCGAGTCCGTCCCACCTTTACGCTTCTACACCCAACTGAGGTAGTTGTTGCTTTCACGGCCATCAATGGTTCAAAACAAGAGATCTCTTTAGATTCCGGAGAAGTGACACTGGAGGGAGGCCTCCGACCGAACGGTAAATATGTGGCACTCTGCACAATGTTTCGAGTTTCTTGTTGCCTGACCAGCATCTTTTGGCTTGCCATCCTGGACATTTGTAACGTTTATGCTGATTCTTTAATCCACTCTCCGATCTTCTGGCAAACTCATTGATCAGGGGAGTGGACGCTGGTGGACAAGTGTTCAGGGCTGAGCATGGTAAACCGTTTCGATCACCGTCAGGTTAGCAAATGTTTGGTGCATTGGGGAACTAGTGATCTGAACATGGAGCTCTGGTCTGATGAGAGGCCAGTTTCGAAAGACACGCCGTTGAGGATCTGCCACCGGTATGAGGTGACACAAACATGAAACTCATTCCTAGGTACTCCCTCCAAAGTAGTGATCTAAACGCTCTTATATTTCTTTAGAGAGGGAGTATAATGTAACAAATGCTTTTAAAACTTGTGTCCGCTTATCGTGTTTAGTTCCCGATGACTTGTATGTAAATAATGTCATGACTGCTACTGCACATCTCTGGGATTGTTGGCCTCATTATTAGTTAAGCCATGGTCAGAATCTCTCCGAGATCTACGTTTTACAAAGTACAAACTCTGCTTTTCCTATATTACAGAGTAAGCTAAGCAGCGTCCAGGCCTACAGCTAGTTGAGAGAAAAGGTGATTCTGTATTAGCTGCAACAAGTGAATTTTGGGATGACATTTAAACTTTCAAATTAGTTTTGGTTGGGGTGCGCCAGCCTGGGCTGTAGTGCAACGCCCAGGCGACACCTGAGGGCCCTAGCAGCAAGCCACTATGATGGACCCTCCCCCATAAAAAATAAATTTAATATCATTGTGGGCACATGACCCACATATCAGATATTAAACTGATAAGAACAGATACTACACTTGATCTTAGCCAAAAGGCCGAGAAAGGTATGATTTGCAACGTCCCCTTCTCCCTCCTCTTATAGCTTCCTCTACCTCTTCTCCGCTCTCGGCCAGCGAGGTGGTACTAAACAAACGAAAGAACGGAGAGAGTCCCTGCTGCGCTCGGGCGACCAGCCAAGCCAGCGCGCGTCGCGTCTCTCGTTCGATTGGGCTTCAGAAGAGGCCCGGTAAGAGCACCACGGCAGCATATGCTTGCGCGGCCCAGTATTACCGGTACGTTTTTTTTCCGCTGTTCGTTTACTCGCTGCGTGAGTGGGACGACGCGTTGGGGATGGCCGACCTCAAAAGTGAACGGACCGAGCCGACGCCCGACAGCACACGAGCCCGTCGCGTTCTCGTTCCTCCTCCGGCTGCTTTCTCTTCTCCGAGTTGCAGCTCGTGGTGATCGATCGAGGTTGACGACAATGTACGGCGTCATGAAGGATCATGCGGTCGCGCTGGTGCAGGAAGACATCGCCGGCGACTACGCGGCCAAGCTCCAGCACTACGTGCACGTGCTCGACTGCTTTGCATTTGCAAGCGCGCCTCATCTGGCACGTGACCTTCCAGGAACTCTCCAACTAAACATTTACTCGAATACGAAAATCGTAAGATGATAAATTGAGAAGGTTTCTTAAGAAAACGCTTAAAGTAAATGCATTGCCAAACCCAGTCACACGTAGAGCCACCTGTTAGACAATTAATCCCATAGAATCTACTTAACAGATCGTAAGCCAGACACTAGATCACCTAATTGCATCAACCAGAGAGATAGATTAGGCTCTTACCACCAATGGAAGCAGCCATTGGTGTCAACGATGCGAAGTCCCGTGCCTGCTCGATGCAGGCTTGATGTAGATGCTCGCTGCAGGTAGCGGCGTCCCTCCGGACGCCACCGGCACCGCCCTGGAACAGGGGCAGAACTTGGAGATGATCTTCCCGTCGTGCAGCGCTCCCCCATATCGGTTAGGGTTTCGGGATGTGGGGAGCAGGAGTAAACCGTATGAGAACTAGTCTAACGTAGGTGCCGGCTGCTCCCCCATCTTTTATGTGCGCTGGCGACAGGGGATCAAAACCACTTGTTGGTTAGGGTGCCCCGATCAGGGCGCGTAAGTTGGGGTCGAGGGGAACGTACGTTGGTTCGTTACCCCTTCCCTTACGTTAACTTATCCTCTGTTTTTCTTTTCTTTTTTGTTCAGCCCGTTGGGCCTTAGATCAATACCAACATTCTCCCCCTTGATCGTTAGGCTCAATAACTTTTGTCCATTCTCCATAAGAATAATATACCAGTGTAAGGTGTTACAACAGCCGACGAAAAGCCATTGAACCTCAATACTCATAGCACACATCCTATTTCAAAATAGAAAACATTTTACTTATTGGGAGTGGTTTATATTAATGGTCTCATAATTTCAGAATTAAGAGGCTTCCAATAATCCCATGCCGGCTACATGCTCACGAAATATATTGGGTGGTAAGCCTTTAGTAAGCGGATCCACAAGCATACATGTCGTACTGATATGCTTAACATTAATAGTTTGATCATGGATTCTATGTTGAATAACATGGTACTTTAGGTCAATGTGTCTGGCAGCGGCACTTGACTTGTTGTTATTCGCATAGAAAATCGCGGGTTCATTATCGCAGTACAATGTCAGTGGTTTGGAAATGTTGTCAACCACTTTAAGTCCGGGAAGGAAATTCTTTAGGAATACAGCCTGCCCGGTGGCCTCAAAACATGCTAGATATTCTGCCATCATCGTAGATGAGTCAACTATCTTTTGCTTGGAGCTTTTCCACGATATGGCTCCTCCAGCGAGTGTGAATATATAACCTAACGTGGATTTCATACTATCAACACACCCGGCAAGATTAGAGTCTGAATAACCAATAACTTCTAGGTTATCAGACTTTCTATATGTAAGCATGAAATTTTTAGTACCTTGCATATAACGCAAGACTTTCTTTGTGGCCTTCCAGTGGTCCGGTCCTGGATTAGATTGAAATCTGCCAAGCATCCCGGTTACAAAAGCTAAGTCAGGGCGTATACATACTTGAGCATACATGATGCTTTCGACAGCTGAAGCATAAGGAACCGACTTCATCTGATCAGTTTCATTTTGGTTCCTCGGACATTGGAATGTCCCAAACTTATCACCCTTAACTATGGGGGCAGGTGAGGAAGAGCACTTATGCATATTGAATTTCTTTAGTACTCTCTCAAAGTATGCCTTTTGCGATAGTCCTAATGTTCCTTTGGACCTATCTCGATGAATCTCAATGCCAAGGACATACAAGGCTTAACCGAGATCCTTCATGTCAAATTTTGAGGATAGAAATCTCTTGGTCTCATGCAACATATCTTTATTGCTGCAAGCCAATAGAATATCATCCACATATAGGACTAAAAAATGTGAACCTACTGCCTTTAAATTTAACATATATGCAGTTGTCCACTTAATTCTCTTTAAAACCAAAAGTTCTAACAATCTCGTCAAACTTGAGGTACCACTGCCTTGAAGCTTGCCTCAAGCCATATATGGATTTCTTTAAACGACATGCCATATGTTCTTTTCCTTCCACGACAAAACCTTCAGGTTGAGTCATGTATACTTCTTCTTTTAAGTCACCATTCAAAAATGTCATCTTGACATCCATTTGACGCAGCTCCAAATCATAATGAGCTACAAGTGACATGAAAATTTTGAAAGAATCTTTGGATGACACAGGCGAGAAGGTCTCCTTATAATCGATTCCTTCTCTCTGTGTAAAACCCTTTGCTACAAGTCTCGCTTTGAACCTTTCGACGTTCCCTTTGGAGTCATATTTGGTTTTGTAGACCCACTTGCAGCCTACCCTTTTGGCTCCATCAGGAACTTCTACTAAGTCCCAAACATCATTCGAGCTCATAGATTTCAATTCGTCTTCCATGGCCACCAACCATTTGGACGAGTCTTCACTTTTAGTGGCTTCTTTATATGAGGTCGGATCTTGTGCCTTCCCTATGTCATTTTCATCCTCACACATGAAAGTGACATAATCGCTAGAGATGGCCTTTTTCTTTTCCCGTTGTGATCTTCTCGTAGGCTCATTAGTATGTGCATTTTCTCTTGCCCGAGAAGGTTGAGGATTAACATTGGGTTGAGGCTCATTATTTGGCCGAGGATCCTCATCATGATGAGAATCTTCATTATGCTGAGGCCCCTCGTCGGATTGAGGATCCACTTCAGGTTCGGGGTCACCAGTAGGTGTCTCGTGCATATTAGGCACATGGATAAAGTTCTGTTGGATAGTCGGGGTTGGAACATACGCCCGCTTCTCCTCAAGATCAATCGTCCTAACCTCAGTGATTTCATTATCCTCAAAAAACACCGCTTGCCTAGTTTCCACAAACTTGGTGGTATGACCTAGGCAATAAAAGCGATATCCTTTTCCTCTATGAGGGTACCCAATGAAAAAACAACTGACTGTCTTTGGGTCCAACTTCTTAATATGTGTATTGAATACTTTAGCTTCAGCTGGGCAGCCCCACACACGCAAGTAATTCAAGCTCGGTTTCTTTCCCGCCCACATCTCATAAGGTGTGCTCGGTGCTGACTTAGTTGGAGCAAGATTCAGGATGTGTGCAGCTGTTTTCAATGCCTCCATCCAAAGGCTTGCTGGTAAGTTTGCATGACTAAGCATGCTACGTACCATATCCATAAGAGTGCGGTTGCGATGCTCAGCAACGCCATTTTGCTGAGGTTCACCAGGCATTGAATATTGGGCAACAATTCCATTTTCAGCAAGATATTTTGCGAATGGTCCTGGAATTTGCCCATAAGGAGCATGCCTGC